CTCCTGCATTCTTCCGTCTTTTGAGACTCGCATTCGCTACTTGTGCCGACTAAACGAGACGATTTCATCCACTACTTCTACATTTGCCTGAAGATCTGATGCGCCATCTACTTGAGTATTTGCACACTCAAGGGGGAGTGTTGTGACATATGTTCTTATCAATATGTGATTGTGTAAATCCTAAGTAGAGATAAAATAGGAATCCTTTGGGATCTAGAAGATCTTTCCTAATATACTTTGTATTACTTGGAGAGCAAGTTTCTCTCATTCTAATTACTATAAATAAAGGCACAAGGACTGGGGAATTAACACACAATTCCTCAAACCTATTCTCCATTCTCTCTTCTTCTCTTTGCCGCACCTATCTATTAAATATAGGCCACAACAGGGTGTAAATAAAATGTGGGGTGTATGTACAAAATATAAGAGGTATATTGAGAATGTGGGGTGTGGAGGTATTATGAGAAAGTATGTGGGGTGTATTAAGATAAATTTTAAATAAAAAAATAAATGTGGAGTGTATTAAGTATGTGAGGTTTATTCAACAATTTGTGGGGTGTTAATATAATTAGCCAAAATAAACCGACAGAAAGGAACCAACTTCTTAATTTCCTTTTTGTTGCATATGAATATTCACTCAACAATCTTCCCACAACCTCTCTCTGCTTCAATTAAGGTCATATATGTTTCTTAATACTGGTTTGGTGATATCGACCTTCCTCTTTTCTGTCCTATACTGAAATGAAAGCCTACCAGGTTACCAGTGCTAATAGAAATAAACTATATGGTTGGGACTTGTACATGGTTAGATCCTCGGTCTCCACGAATTATGCTAAAAGGCGGACTAATCAGATGATTATCAAACACTACAGAGGCCATCGTTCAAGCGGCGCCATGCCTGCCAATGAACAGCTTCGTTCACAAAAGCCTGAAATTTGCGAGAATCAAAACCTTTACAAACGGGATCAAAAGAATGAGGACTACTCCACAATCCTCTAGCAAGTGAATAAACCCTCATAAAAAATATTCGGATCCTCGTATTCCAACCACACGAAGAAATCTATTGCGCTTAGGAACACTTGGATATTCTAGCTTGCAGTAGTCATCAAAAGCATGGTTATCGTAATGCAAATAGTAATTCTGCTCCACTGGATTATCTCCACGAACACATTGCAGAAGGAGGTGGTGGGTGCCAAACTGGTTAAAATCGATGGCACAGCTGAGGTGGGTGCGAATGAAGCTGGGATTTTTTATCATGGAGTTCCAAGGCTTGGACACCGAGGTGCATCGGATCAAAGCTTTAGGAGGTAGTCTCAAAAGGATAACACGTACAATTTCCTTAGGCAAACTGCTAACCATTGCTTCAAACTTCACTTCCCCGGCTGCCAATTTCATAGACATAGAGTAAGTGAGGAAATATAGTGCAGCCAGTTACAGAACACCGTGCTCCTCCACATAGGAGAACAACATTGTCAAAACTCTGCCGGTGGTTGATGAATGCAGCAAAACCATTTTTTCTGTGCACCAGGAAATCAAACCAAATCAAATCATCCGCATAGAGTGAGGAATTTAAGCATATTAGATTTTGGCAGCAGAAATAATCACCCTCCAGTTATTCGTTCTACTAGTCTACAACTGGAAACGCAGCAGATACAGAAAACGCATAGAAAAAAAACGAAAAGGTCACACAATGATCAATTGACAAGAGCAAATATTTCCAGGGCCATTAGTTCTTTCAATTATTCACAATAAAACAAACAAATGTTCCCATTAGGCTACATCTGTCTAAAAGGAGACAACCCGAGTTAACGTATGCCAATTCCACTTGCATGGAATAATGCAGATAAAACAGCCGAATCATCTTGTGTTTTTTATTTTTCAAATATCTTGGCCCTAACATTAGATTTGTCTTTCGCCACATTTCCTTACTAGAGTTCTATATAAGTCAGTTGCATTGATTTTCACATCAAATGGTATGCTGAGTTTGACCGATAAGGCAGTGTTACATATAGTTGTATTTTGTACTACCAACGTCACTTGAAAAGCAACAACTGGCAACTGAGAAAACCGCAAAGAATGTATTTCTATTGGCTGACTCATGTATACATCAAATCATTAGAGAAAGAAACGAGACAACAGTTATGAGAAAAAATCTTACAGACGAAGGCCTGCCAATGCCAGGATCCACTCCTCCTCCATACCTGATATTAGGATCAACCTTTCCTGGTGACTCCGGGTTTCCACCTGTCTTCTTCTCATCCCTAGCCTTGTTAAAGATCACAGTTGTCACATCCCAACCCGGGCTCCGCCACATCCCGGACTCGGCTCTGTCGTAGCACGATATTGTTAATTTTAGGCCCCGATCACGCCCTCATGGTTTTGTTTCTGGGAACTCACACGAGAACTTCCAGTGGGTCACCCATCTTGGAATTGCTCTCGCACGATCTCGCTTAACTTCGGAGTTCCTATGGAATCCGAAGCCAATGAACTTCCAAAATGACTCGTGCTAAAGGAGGTGATCATGTACATATATGGTATAGATGATCCTCACCCCTGATCGACGTGGGATCTATGGAATGGGTAGAATCAAACCAGTGTAGGTTTATTGTGTTTAGTTAAACTCATTGTGTTTGTGTTAGCTCAACTCATTTAAAATTGAACTTTCATACTTTATGTTGTGTTATTTGTGTTGAATCCAAATTTTGGTCAGTCTTGGATTCACTATCATATAGTCAAAGAGCTTGTTTGTAACTGGTTTTAAAATTACTGAAAACACTTAAATCCTTGCATGAAGCAATAAAGTGATTTTACATAACTTACTTGACAATTTAATAAGAATTGATTTTAAAAATATTTTTATAAAAAACGCTTTTAACCATTCTTAAGCCAATTTCAAACGAAACAAAAATAAGCACTACAAATTGTATTTATATAGCCAATAATTAGGATCATCATAACCCATGTCTTTTCAACTTACCTAAATTATTTCCTCACCAATTTAGTATAAATATATCATTTGTATTAAAAAAAAACTTTTCATAAATTATTTTTTATTCTTATGATTAAGTGTGTTTTTTTTTTTTAAATTTATTTTTTATTTATCAAACGATAGACAGCTATTCCCCACCATCTTTAATGCCCCACTACTAATATGGTCACAAGCCCACGTAACCGGGACTTCTTCAAGCCCATTAAAAGGACACCTCGGGAGAGCTTCTAACTTTAAGCCTAAAAATCAGTTGGCCAATTATTTTGACAGAGCTTATAAGCCCAGTTCTTAATTCATAGCACTTGCAGCCTAAAAGAAAAACATTATTTTAAAGGAAAACTAATGAAAAATGTTTGAAAACTTTGAGTTTTAACGATAAGGACAAAATAAAGGGTAAAGTGAATAGTATCAGGATTGACTTTTTAATGTAAAAATGTGGTTTTTCGTTAAACTGAACAGTACCATAAGCTTTTCGTTAAAATTCCCTTATTTTAATTCAAAGTTAAAATGCAATGATCTGTACACCAAAACAACAATAATAAAATATTTGATCCAACAATTGAAAATTAAGAGCAGTATGTAAAAAGTAAAAATGGACATGTAAATAACACTATAAAAAAACAATCATCAAAGTCACAAATGCAAATTCTTTTTTGAAAAATAGTATGTAAATAACACTATCAAAAAACAATCATCAAAGTCACAAATGCAAATTCTTTTTTGAAAAATAGTTTAACTTTGAGAAATGCTAACGAAACTTTCTCAAAAATGCAACTCTTTATAAACTCTCTGTCATCTCATATTTTTGACATTATATTTTATAATAATAACACAAAAAGACGTTAAACTATGAAATAAGGACTATGATTCTCTCCCCTCCTTTTTCCATCTCCTCCTCTCACATTCTCTTATTTTATCTTTCTCTTGCTATTAAAAATTAATATAAGATATTAACATGACTTAACTGTGACGTTTAATTAGGGGAGGTAAAATAAAGAAAAAAAGAAAGAGCCAACAATACCTTAAAAAGTTGACGAGTCTAGAGAGAAGGAGCCATTCAAACACCAATCATGAGACATTGAGACCCTTTTCTTCATAAAAGTTGTAAAGGAGGGACTAAATTATTATATAATTTTTCTTTTCCCCATGCTAAAAGTTTACTTTGAGTGGAAAATATATTTCTTTATTTAAACAAAACGATATTGGGGAAGAAAAAATATAACGTGAAAAAATACGGTCTAGAATTAAATACTTTAAACTGCTTCTACTACAAATTCTTTTTAGCTAACTATATTTCTGAATTTTTTACTTTCTATAATATGTAAAAAATAAGAAAAAAAGGCCTAAAATATTGATACATTATAATCATACATGTATATTCCAGAAGGTTGAAGCTCCTAAATATGATATCTGACCGACTTCATATAGATATCATATTTAATCATATAAAAATAATAAAGAACAAATATAATAAGTAAGATAAATGTTAAGGAGACTCTCTAAAAAACTCTATGTGTCAATATTTGAAGTTCTTCGATATGATCGATATTTTCATAGAAATATCAAAAAAATAAGAGAAATATAAGAAAAGAGGGTGAAGTCTAAACTTTACAAGGTATCGAAAAAACTTTTAAATTTCGGCTAAAATTAATAGATCTCGTCTTTTTTCGATATATCTGTTAAATATAAACAAACTGCCTATGACATTTCCTAAAGTTTCATTTTAAATGTCTATGTGTTTTTAGCACATTTCCATCATTTATATTGAAAGCAATCGATATCGATATATCCATCGATATTTTCACAAAGTTGCATATTAATATTTTCTCAGATACATAGTTTAAACACTACTGATAATTCACAGTTTAATATTAATTTTTATATCAAAATGATCAAATTTTATATAAAAAAATATGAAATAACAGAGAATTCGTCGTTTCATGAAATCTGAAATAATAATCACCTCCTTCTCTCTTATAGCGGTCTCTTCCAAGTCCCCACTTCTTCACTCCAAAGTCCTCCTCATTCCCACAACTTTTAATTATTTTTCGCTCCCTCTCTCTCTCTCTCTCTCCTCCCTTCTCATCACTCTCTTCAGATCCCACTCTCTCTGCAAATCCCATATTCCCGATCGCCCCTTTCTCTCTCTCTGAAATCCATTCCGTCAGGGAATCAAAATCCCATCTTTTTCATTCACATACAAAACCCACACACACATATTTATAGATCTGCTGCTCCTCCTCCCATGGCTGCCACCGGGAATCAAAATCCGCCGCCGCAGCAGCAACCGCCGCCCTTCGACATGCAGAAATTCTTTAAACCCACAAGCCCATCTCCTCTCACCCCCCAAACCTCAACCCCCGCCCATTCAAACCAAAACCCTAACCCTAATTTGAGTTCCTCCTCGTTCCCAATCCCGCCGGCTTCTTTCCCTCCTCCCACGGGGCCCTACTCGTACCCGCCCCAAACGGCACCGTTTCACCTCCATCAGTTTCAATACCACCCCCACCCGCAGCAGCCCCACCCCCAAATGCCTTACTCTCCGCAAGACCACCACTTGCTCCACCAGAGGTCTCTCTCGTTTCCCACCCCGCCCCTCCAACCCCCTTCTAATTACAACATTGCCACTCCCGCTTCCAACCCCAACAGCACCGGCGGTAGCAATTCCAATTCGAGCCCGAATTCTGGTGCTCGAATCATGGCGCTTCTTGGTGCTCCTTCGGGAAATCTAGAGCCTGAGTTGTCGACTCCTACAGGTGTCTCAATGGTGCCCGCTCTCCCTATGGGGATTCCATCCACTGGCCCGACTCGAATGCCCAGCAATAAGCTGCCGAAAGGCCGGCATTTGATTGGCGATAACGTGGTTTATGATGTGGACGTTAGGTTGCAGGGTGAGGTTCAGCCACAGCTCGAAGTTACGCCCATAACCAAGTATGGTTCGGATCCTCAGCTTGTGCTTGGACGCCAAATTGCGGTTAATAAGTCGTATATATGCTATGGATTGAAGCAGGGGAACATTCGGGTGTTGAATATACACACTGCATTGAGATCTTTGTTTCGAGCTCATACGCAGGTTTAATTCAAATCTTGTATTCTGGTTTGTATTCACATCTTAGTTTTTTTGGATTGGTTATGTGCTCTTTTATTTTGTTAAAATGACATTGCAGTCTTTGATCGCTATCCGGGTGTCGATGACTTGTATGGTTGATGAATTCAAATTTAGATTCTTTACTTTCGGATGGCTGCAGAAGTTAGTCTGACTTCATGTACTATTACTTATGTACCAAGAAACGGCAATGGGAGTTAAATGGATAGAGATAGCGCAGTCTAGAACTTATGCTTGAAGTACTGAAGTGCAGGAAATATCACTGCTTGACAATTGATATAAATAAAATAGCTTGATTTATTGAGCTCTAATCTTATATTCTGTGTCTATCCTTTATTGATCTAAGTGATGTCTTGTTCTGTCAGAGGGTCACAGACATGGCTTTCTTTGCTGAGGATGTTCACCTTTTGGCTAGGTAGATGTTTTCCACTATTCTTATTTTTTTTTTTGCTCATCTAGTTTGGCTTTCTGTTATTTGACATAAATTTGTGCAGTGTAAGTGTAGAAGGACGACTCTTTGTATGGAAGATTTCTGAAGGTCCAGATGAAGAAGGTACGCCACAAATCACTGGAAAGGTTGTCATTGCTATTCACATAGTTGGAGAGGGGGAAGCTATTCATCCACGAGTTTGTTGGCACTGTCATAAACAAGTAATTCATCTTTAACTCCTATTTTTAACGAACAGTTATGGCTCCTTCCATTCAGTGCCTAGAGTCATTTTCTGTCCATTTTTTGTTCTTCTTGTTGGCTTTGAAGTTTGAATTGGCTGGATGGTCTCTCTTTTACTTATGAGTATTATGAAAAATGATCTTACAGGAGGTTTTGGTAGTTGGGTTTGGAAAGCGTGTACTAAGAATTGATACTACTAAAGTTGTGAAGGGTGAAGCTCCTTCTGCTGATGAGCCTGTCAAATGTCCCGTTGAAAAGCTGATTGATGGAGTCCAGTTTGTCGGTAAACATGATGGAGAAGTGACCGATTTGTCAATGTGCCAATGGATGACCACCCGTCTGGTTTCTGCTTCTATGGATGGAACAGTATGTACCTTTACTATTTTTGAAGGCTTTCTTTCACCTTACATATTTTCTTGTAGTGAAATCAGCGAAACTTTATACAGCATTTTCATTTGAACGGTTGAAACAAATTTAAGGAAACCCTGTTGCCTGCTCCTTTGTGTCATGGAAAAAAATTCAACTTGGTTATTTGATTTTTGAGTCATATGGATTTGTTTAATGTTTGAGGTCAAATTTTAGACACGTTGACTTTCATTGCATATTGTATACTGTTTAAATTATTTGCTCTATGGAGTTTGGTCTAGGTTTGAGGTAAAATCTTGCATACATTTTTGCTTCCCTTGCATATTTCACAGTTTGCTTTATGAGTTATATGGGTTTTGCTCAGTGTTTGCGTTGCATATTTTTTTACTATTGGCTTATGACCTGTATGGAGTTTGGTCTAGATTTAAGGTAAAATCTTGCATATGATTAGCGTGCTTGCATGCATTCTACTGTTTGCTTTGAATTATATGGGTTTTGGTCTAGGTTGAGGTGGATTTTTCACTGCCCTTTCCTATTTTCAACTATTTCTGGTCAAATTCTTGAGCTCACCACCTTTTGGCTCATACATTTTGACTGAAAATTTGTCAACAAAATTTTTCTCTTAGTACAATATGGCTGGTCAAAAGTGTGTCCAGTTTTCTGACCCATAATGCAAATGGCTCTGAAGAAGGAATTCCTGGTTCCAAAGTGACTCTGAGAAGTGTCTCGATTTCTATATCAATGTTTGTATTGAAGGGGTAGAGAAATAGTCATGGGCTATAACGTATAATTCACAAGCATCTACTGACATGCATGCAAACACTTTCCTTAAACATTCCTGTTGATGCTTTGTAATAGTTTGTGCTGATTCCAGACAAAATGTATGTCATGCAACAGATAAAGATCTGGGAAGATCGCAAGGCTCAACCTCTTTTAGTATTGAGACCCTATGACGGCCAACCTGTTTATTCAGCTACATTTGTGACAGCTCCCCACAGGCCAGATCATATTATACTTATCACAGTGGTAAGTATTTTTTATTCTTTGCTTGTATTATAAGGGTTCTAGTTGTGTTTCTGCTGCCTAATTTCAGTATAAGAATGTTCTAGTTTGTAATTATATAAATCTGTTTTATAGGGGCCACTTAATCGGGAAGTGAAGATCTGGTCCTCAGCGAGTGAAGAAGGCTGGCTGCTTCCCAGTGATGCTGAATCATGGAAATGTACCCAGACATTAGAGTTGAAGAGTTCTTCTGAACCCCGAGTCGAGGAGGCATTCTTTAATCAAGTCATAGCATTGTCACAAGCTGGCCTTCTCTTACTTGCAAATGCTAAGAAGAATGCTATATATGCTGTACACTTAGAATTTGGTTCTGATCCAGCATCAACCCGCATGGATTACATTGCAGAATTTACTGTTACCATGCCAATTTTGAGTTTTACAGGGACAAGTATATCTTCTCATGGTGAACAGATTGTTCAGGTTTATTGTGTCCAGACACTGGCCATTCAGCAGTATGCTTTGGAATTATTAAAGTGCTTGCCTCCACCACTGGATAATGTGGGATTAGAAAAGTCAGATTCCAATATCTCACGCGATGCAATTGGGGCTGAAGGATATCTATCTGGAAGTAAACCCACAGAGGCACTGCTAGCGAATTCATCACCTAAACCAGCCGTACAAGAAAGTAGTTCTGAGGGTGCAGCTGCAAATACAGAATCCAGACTTGTTTCATTTGCATCGGCAACTAGTGACTCTGATGCTGTTTTTGTTGCAACACCACCTATTACTTTGAGTCCTAAGTTGTCTGGGAAATTTTCTGGTATAAGAAGTCCAGCAGATATCTCTGAGGCAGGTCGCACACTTAATGACCATGGTGGAGACCAACAAGTCAATGATTACTCAGTTGACAGGCAAATGGACCCTGCTCATTTAAACATGTCGGATGTGCCTGCAGTGGATGATGACTCGAGGAATGATGAACCTAAAGTTGGACAAGATGATTTATCTAGTGTGCTCAATCCTCCTATCATGTTCAAACATCCAACCCATCTAATAACTCCCTCTGAGATTTTAATGGCTGCTTCATCTTCTGAAGCTGCTACTATTGACAGCAAGAGTGAGGGGGAGGGAAATATCCAAGATGTTCTTGTTAACAGTGATGTAGGTAATTCTGAGGTGGAGATGAAAGTAGTGGGTGAAACGAGATCTACTCAAATTGATGAGTTTGGCTCTCAAGGAGAACCACAAAATGCTGTCTCAGAAAATAAAGAAAAATACTTTTGCTCCCAGGCATCAGATCTTGGAATTGAAATGGCCCGAGAATGCTGTGCCCTACCAGCAGAAAATTATGTAACGGATGAAGCTCGGCAAGTTGATGATGCCAGCGTGACAGAACCACCAGGCCAGTCTCATGCTGGAGACGAAGACCAGGACTCTGCAAAAGATGTTTCTGCGTCATCTACCCCCCCAACAGTTTTGCAATCGCAGACATCAAATACAAAAGTGAAAAAACAGAAGTGGAAAAATTCACAAGCATCAGGTTCATCGTTCCCATCAGCAACTGTACTCAATTCAATAGATTCCACCAATGAAAATGGTGTCAGTTCAAGCCTACCCTCTTCAGAAGCTGCACACCCTCAAATTATGGCCATGCAGGATACGGTTAATCAGGTAATTGCCAATCCCCGTATTTGGCATATGAATTATTCTCCACATGACAACTGAAGACTTTCTTTTATAGTTTGAAGACTACTCGTCCTTTATCTTGACAAAATAGTGCTACTGCCACTTCAGTGCCTCTGATAATCTGTCTTTGTCACGTTGGAACATGTCCTATTTCAGATGGATTTTCTTGTCCTATTTCAGATGTTTGTATTTGTGGAAAAGTGAAAAGGTTGTATGCATATGATGTAGTGTGGGTTGTGTTGTAGAAAAGTGGACTGGACCTGTATTTATTTCAATCATCCTTATCTTTACTTTGTCTACTTTTCTGTTCGTGCAGCTACTGACCATGCAGAAAGAAATGCAAAAGCAGATGACAATGATGGTTGCAGGCCCTGTTACAAAGGAAGGGAGGAGATTGGAAGCTGCTCTTGGGCGAAGTATGGAGAAGACTGTGAAGGCCAATAATGACGCTCTATGGGCTCGTTTTCAAGAAGAGAATGCAAAGAACGAGAAGTTATTGCGAGACCGTAATCAGCAAATAACCAGTTTGATCAATAACTTCATAAACAAGGAATTCCCAGTCATGTTGGAGAAAGTGGTGAAGAAGGAATTATCTGTGATTGGACCAGCTGTTGTTCGTGCTATAACTCCAGCGATTGAGAAGGCCATACCTTTGGCTATTTCTGATTCCTTCCAGGTTAGAAGTTTGGATGATTTGACCCCTTCACTAAAGCTGGCCTAGAATTCTATATGATCTGGTATCCTTCATAATAAAGTTGTCTTCTAGTTATCTAATTTGATATGCATGTGCTGCAGAGAGGAGTGGGTGACAAGGCTGTTAATCAATTGGATAAATCTGTTAACTCAAAACTTGAAGCTACTGTTTCCAGGCAAATTCAGGCGCAGTTTCAAACTTCTGGCAAACAAGCTCTTCAGGTGTGTATTTGCCGATGTTAGCTTAACTTTCTTGAATTTGTAATCTGAATATGTAACATGTTACCTTGGTTTTGACAATTTATTTACTGATACTATGACCTTTGCATACAGGATGCTCTCAAGTCTAGTATGGAAGCTTCGGTAGTACCTGCCTTTGAGAAGTCATGTAAGGCCATGTTTGAGCAAGTAGATGCTACGTTCCAGAAAGGAATGGTTGAACACACAACTGCGGCCCAGCAGCACTTTGACTCCGCACATTCACCATTGGCACTGGCTCTAAGGGTACGTATGCTTTTACCAAGTCCAACCATTTTCTTCTTGATAATGTTTTGTTGGCAAACTTCCCTTCTCTTATATTTGAACGGTTATAATCCTTGAGGTCTCAGACTATATTCAGAAAACAAGTGAGAGATCATGTGCTTGTTGTCAAATACAAATACAGTGAGCCAAATATGAATTTTGCACAATGATCTTGTTTGATGTTTTATGTTTAACTGAATGTAAGCTGATATATCAGATTTTGTGTGTGTGGTGTTTTATACTGTTCTCCTTGCATGAAAGTAGCATCCGACATTTTGATTCTTTCCCTATTGTTGTACAAGGTAAATATCATTAGAGATGAGGATATGATAGTTTGTGTTGACTGAAAAGATGATTCTATATTGTAAGATACAATTGTTTTCTTTCGGTCAGTAAAGGTTTTACTCATGATATCTTTTGGGAATGAAGTATTTTTTTTTTTCCTTTGCTTTTGCTATGCCATTTGATACCCACTGCATGGCTTAATTTCGTTTGTATTTTCATCTGTTCCTACGGTTGATTTTATATTTTGATGATATTTGCAGGAAGCTATTAATTCTGCATCATCGGTGACTCAAACCTTAAGCGGAGAAGTGGCTGATGGTCAACGTAAGCTCATAGCTCTGGCAGCTGCACGGGGAAACTCAAGTGCAGTAAATCCTATGGTCACACAACTCACTAATGGACCTTTGGGTGGTCTCCACGAGAAGGTTTGTTCTCTATCTTAAATTTGTGGAATCTGTGGATATGTAACTCCAAAATGTTCAATTTTATCATTGAGGGTTGGTTGGTCGACTACTTTTATCATGAAAAGCAATTTATTTTTGCATGATAGGTTGAGGTGCCTTTGGATCCAAAGAATGAGCTATCGAGGCTGGTATCTGAACGCAAGTACGAGGAGGCTTTCACAGTGGCTCTGCAAAGAAGTGATGTGACCATCGTATCGTGGTTGTGCCATCAGGTATGCTTTAGATGATACCCATGGTGGTTATCTGAGATTCTGAGCTTGCAAAGGATTATCAGCCCGAAACATTCTTACGCCTCTTTTTTCCAGGTTGATCTGCGTGGGATATTGCTGTCGAATCCTGTTCCCCTGAGCCAAGGTGTGCTTCTTTCTCTTTTGCAACAACTGGCGTGTGATATCAGCAATGATACACCCAGAAAAGTTGCATGGATGACGGATGTGGCGGGCGCCATAAACCCGGCTAACCAAATGATTGCGATGCACGTACGGCCTATATTTGAGCAAGTTTACAATATACTGCACCATCAACATGCCTTGCCTACGGTCTCTAGTGCCGAACACACAAGTATCCGACTTCTCATGCATGTCATCAACTCCATGATGATGGCCTGTAAGTGATTATCCATCTCTCTACAAATCTACCATTGTGCAAGAAACAATATTTATATGGACATTTTGTACAAAAATCTGCTGTGATCTCTTATGAAAAGCGTCGCCGAACCGTGTAGAGTCAGTTTTCGTCGAATTGGATACATAGGGCTTAGGCATTTCGGGATACTGTATTTATCGTCTCTTTTTTCGCCTTTCTTTTACTTGTCATGGCTCTATGTAAACTGCAATTTTGTGTTTTCTTCACACCTGTGAATGCATCTGTGTTTCTATTTTTCCTTAAATTTTAGATGTGTCTTTCGAGTTTATAGTCAATAATTTGTAGACAAGGTCCCCAACAAATTGCGATGAGAGTTGATCTATAGTACATGTTTAAGGACGTGAGTTGATATTGTTGTATCACTACAACTAACGTGTCTTGGGTTTAAATGTTAAAATGGTTCCTGTGTTTTACCCTGCCGATCAATTTAGTCCTTGTGTTTTCAATTTTACCGATTCTATTTCTGTGTTTAATTCAGTTAGTCGATGTGCTCCTTTTCAATCCAATTACTGTTAAATTTTTAAAAACATGTTTCAAATTGATAAGAAACAACAAAATTGAAACCTCCCACCTCCTACATTTCCCAAAATCCTAGCCACCACCATTACCAAATCCATCCAAAACCAAGGAATTGGATCCTCTTGCCTTGGTATCCTCTTGACCCATTAACACGGACCGTTGAATCAAAATTTAATGGCTACAATTACTATAACTTTAGAGGATCCTTCTGTTTGTAGCCGTTAGATCAAAATCTAACGGTTCGTGTTAACGGATCAGGAGGATCCTGAGGGTTTGCCTCAAAGAGGATCCAATTCCCAATACCAACACTCCAACCACCATGAATCGTCTCATAACCACCCATCATCTCTCTCCGAATAAATCACCCCACGGTCCCCCACCTGCCATTGAATACTGCGTCGTTTTTCCGCGATACATCGACGTTGCATTACTCTCCGCCTTCCGCTCCACTGCGCCAGCGTGGACCCATACGACCCTAATCCGAGTCATCCTCGCTGCACATTCGTGGCTGGAGATGTTGCCTTGAGTTCTTAATCTGAACTTTTTATTTTATTTTTATTTAAATCTTTTTTTGTTTTTAAATTTACATTGAGCTTTTCATATTTATTAAATTAAAATGAAATATTTAACAGTAAATTAACAGAATTGACCAAAATGGCTAACGATTTAAAACACGAGACTAAATTGATAATATAAAACACATGGACCCTTTCGACATTTAAGCTTATTTTTTAATCATTTTTTAGAACCCAAATAAAAGGGTCAATTTATCTTGGGTAAACTCCTTAATTTTTTTGTCACTTATTACTTTTTTTTTTTTGTCAAACGATAGATTTATTTGATTAGATGTTAGATTAAGGAGCCAATAAAATTCGAACTCACTTTGCGATACAAAAGTAACACTTTTATCTACCATGGTGATAGAGGACCAATTGCAATTATTGATTACCTTTAATTCATTAGATCCGACAACCAAAAATTATGTAAAAGAAAAATGAAATTAATATAAATAAATAAATAAAGATGTAATTTCCGTTCAAATTCATTCACTTCGTACGCCGTCATCATAAAAGCATTTACAAAAAATTTCCCTACCTTCTAATAATTTTTTTCTTTTTACACGCAGACTCTTAAATTTCCCTTCTTTTTCAAGAAAGGAAAAAAAAACACGCAAAAGTCGGTGTCTGCTGAGTCAGCGGCGAGTCTGGTGGACCCCGGGATCCTGTTCGCTTTACGTTTTCTACCAGCACTGGTCCGTTTCCCACCTCCGGGTCGAGTAAAACCCGTCGGCTCGAAACCCGACCGAGCTCCTCCGCCGATTAAAATCAATGTGACCAGCGCCCACCGACATGTCGTACACCGCACGGGCCGCCGGATCGGACAGCGTGGCGTAGGCGTTGTGAATCTGGATGAAATCCCGGCCGTCGGACTCCGACCGCGACGCGTCCGGGTGGTATTCCTTGGCCAAGCTCCGGTACGCTGACTTGATCTCCGATTGGGAGGCGTTGGCCGTGACCCGGAGGACGTCGTAGAGGCTCGCCGCCGAGGCACCGGGTCGCGGCTTGGCCTCGGTGAAGGCCTGGGCGGAGGAGGCCTTGATCTGGAAACTGCGCCGCTGGGGGAGGGGCATTTGGGGAAGGGGGTTTGCGGCGGAGGGGAAGAGGGTTGTAGACATTGGGGATTTTGGCGGTCTGCGGAGGGCAATTTGGGAATTGGAAGAGTTTGGGAGGAGGAGGAGGATGGTGTGAATGGAACTTTTGAAAAGGGGGTATAAATAGAAGTCAAAATGCAAAGACGCAGCAAAATCTGTGTGTGTGTTGTGCGTTTTCAGGGGGCGCTGACGTGGCACGTGTTCCAGCGGCTTACAGTTTATATTTTTTGCTTCTAGAAGCAAGCACCAGGGTTTTCCCAAAATACACGGTTAGTAAATTAATTTTTAATTTAACCATTCTTTAGTCTCACATGCTATGAGCAATTCAGTGAATTTTGATTTAAATATATATATTTTTTTAAATTGTTTTAATGGTCAGATTTAATTTGAGTTGTTATATATATTTTTACTGTTTGATTTGCTCATATTTGTAATTTTGATTTAAAAAAAAAAAGGAATATGGACCAACGGTCTAACCATGTGGGCTGTCCGGTAAAAAAAAAATAGTCGTCCGTCTTTCCATAAGTGGCCGACAAAGTCAGCAACTGTATCCTAGCCTCTAACCTTGACTCATTGTCTAGGTTTAATTTGGACAAAAAAAAAAAGTTTTAGCCCAAATTTTTGTTAGCCCAATGATTGAAGAAGATGTGGGCGAGTTTAAAACTTAAATTTTAAATTTTAAACTAGCCATTGAAGTTGGTCTAATAACTAGGGTTTAGTGAATGTATCACTAAATTTGTGTGATTGACCTGATGTTCGACTTATTATAAATGTCTTGTGTGATACTTAATTATAATTGGTTAATTGCGTGGTTGTCAAAATCTAAAAAAAAAAAAAAAAATCTCTCAAATGTGAATGGTACATAAAATTGTAACTTGCCCTAAGTTAATTATTATTTTTTGGTAAACAACGAGGATACAACCCAAAGTAAAACTAACTCAAAATAGCAATGAAACAAAACGAGTTCGAAAGACTCCAAAAATTTTGTTTATAAGAGGCAATTCAATCCAGCCAGGGGCTGATCAAACACATGAACGCCAACATTCATATTAAAATTTCAATTTGTCAACTGATCCGTCACATAATTCTTTTTCCAGAATTACAGTTTCGATAAAAAAAAAGGAAGTAAGTTTTTAGTATTTATTTTTCATAGAACACTTGTAGATATTTTGTAGAGGCATGATGATGAAGATGGGCAGGTAACTAACTATGCTATCAAACTTTTGTTGGTGTTGTAGGACGTGCCTTATTTTTTGGAACTTTAACGAAAAGCTTCTAATACTGTTTATTTTAAAGAAAAACCATATTTTTACACTAAAAAGTCAATCCTGGTATTATTTACTTTAATCTTTATTTTGTCCTTATCGTTAAAACTCAAAGTTTTCAAACCATTTTTATTAGTTTTCTATTTTTTAGGCAGATATTTCAAGTGATATCATGACACACCCTAACCCGAAGACTAGGACGTGCTGGCCGTCACGTGAGCGTGACGTAACCATAAACGCAAGCGGAAACGATTTAATAATAAAATACGAGTCAACAAAAACCACTAATTATACAGTTATTAACAACCTAGCATTCTATGTGCATAAGAGTGTACTAAACACACATAAACAGAGCATAAGCATCTAGGTGCAGTCAAGTAGGAACATAGCTATTTTACAACACCCTCGGGTGAGTCCTACATTTATTTATTCTGTCAGAATCACCGAAGTAGTCCTCGTAGGCCACCAACGCCTCAACTATCAACTAGAACCTGGAGGGGCGAAAAACAGAAAACGTGAGTGGGCGAAAATAAAGCTTTTCCAAATCATTTCATTTTATAACCCCTTTTTGGAAAACCTGTATACTTTCCCAGAAAAATAGTATATAGCATATATATATCTCAACATCTCGATCATCAATCTTATAACAGATTCAATAAGAATGTACCATGTCAATTTCAACAGTTTAGTATGAATGCATTGACATAATATAAATCAGGTAAAAGAAATAATCAATCGGAGGCCCTCTAATAGCCCTGAACGATTGAATCTAGAGCTCAACATCTATCAATCTCACTCTGCCGGAGTCACTCCGCGTGACCTGTCCGGCCTTCTGCACATCAGTCGGAACCACCTAATGTAGTCTGAACGACTCATGGTAATATTCGCTCTAGTGCTTCTCTCATCAATCATCTGTATACAATAACCTAAGGTCACCCACCAGTCATAATCTCACTAACACTCTACGACTAGCCCGTCGTACCCACTCCGCGTGGACTGTACGACCAGCATCTACTTGGATCCAAGGCGAGCGTGCGATGCGGTGAATACTATAAGCACTAAACCATGGTGCAGGATATGAGCTCAATATACATCATCATCATAATAGTAATTAAATACTCACCTGATACTCACCTGTGCGTCCACAGCACCATCTTACATATATGCATTATACGACAGTTCATAATATTCATAACATTCTATGCATGGCAATCACATCATATTTCATTTCATTTCAATATACTTTTTATTTAAATTTGATTTCTGGGGAAATCGAGTATATAGGTATATATATATATAAACAAATGCCCACTCACTGGTATGTCGCCGGGTCGTAACCCCCTGGACGCCCCTGGATGTGCTCGTCCTCGTTATATGACCCACCTATAAGTGAAATAACTTAAAACAATCATTTAACGCACATTTAACGCACCTAAACCAAACTAGGTAATTAATTCTTCATACGATGCTCAAATTGGGTATATGAATATACCACAGTGACCTACACAACCTCAGGATCATCCCCATATTTTTAAAATAATTTTTGGAGGTCTCACGCGCCCCCACGCGCCTGACGTGGCACTGACCTACGCGCCCCCCACGCGCAGCCACGTGCCAGGCACACTGACGGCACAGTAACGGCCGTTAGGGAATATTCCTGGAATATTCCGTTAGCTAACTGATGGCGTCAGTTAACGCCGTTGGAATATTCCGTCAAAACTGACGGAATATTCGTCGTCTTCTCCGGCGAGTCGCCGGCCGCCGGCGACTGTTCGCCGGTTTCTGGAAAAATTTCAAATTGACTTTTCTCCTTCGTTTTTCGTCCAATTTCTTCGAATTTTACACCAAAATGAAGCATTTAACATGTACTATCACGTTGGAAGGGTTTTAGGGCCTAAAAACTACGAGATCATACCTTCCAAAATTCCTCAAATTCGGCCAAACTCGAACCCAACGATCCCGACGTCCATTTTGTTCAAACGAGGCACTCCGAGCCTCCTTGGAACTTCCTAAGACTCGTGGTGATCTTGGTTTAACCTAAAACATAACCAAATCAAAGTTCGTGAACAGTGTCAATTCTCGGGGTCATTAGAAACTAGGGTTTTTGAAATGAAACTTACCTGAAACTTATACCCCCGTGCTCGTGAAGTTCCCAAGATCACGATGGTGATCTTAGATTGGACGTTGGTGTAGGATTGTGGTTGTTCTTGGTGTTTGCCGTGAGTTCGAGAGTAAGAGAGAGAGAGTGTTTCTGAGGGAGAGCTGAGGAAGAAAGAGGGAGTGTGAGAGACAAGAACACGGAAATGGGGAGGGATTTAGGGGGTAGGACCCCACCCTAAGTCCAAACACAAATAAATTAACACATACAAATATATAATTCTAACCCTAGTTTAGGATCTTAAAGTAAAACAAATGTCAAAATTACGCACCTTAATCCCGTTTAAGGGCGTTTCTGTAATTTCACGTCCTCGGAATTAAAATTCCGGGACGGGCTGTGACATATCACCCAAGTCAAGTCACAAAAAGACATATAGTTTGCTACATACTCTCTGCTTGATAGTGTGGTCCTATACTATAGTAATTTTGAGTAAAATTCTCTTCATCCTATACTACAGTAATTTTGAGTAAAATTCTCTTCATTCTTAATTCATTCTCTTCACTCAAGAGTTCCCGACAAATTTAGACCGTTTAAATTAATCATACAGTCTCTATTAGTCAATCTTATTTGTCGCTACGTACAGACTCAGAAATTCAGATGTTCAATTTAAGTTATACATTTTGAATTTTTTGATCCGTAGGTTCCAAAGTGTAACAGGCGAAGATCTGAATTCATATAATTATAAAGCAAGTATAGGAAGCGTGGCCCTCCCGAACAGACAAGTGATAGGGTCCTCTTTCTAACCACCATAGATGGAGGAGTTGAGATGGTGTGCCACGTAAGAAGGGCTTCTAGAAACCCTAGTCTTGCTGACTAAAAACTGTACTCCCTACGGCCTCTACACTCCTAAGCCACATAGTTGGCACTAGGTTATACCACCCTTCTAGAAGCCTTTCTTTTTTCCCAAAAATGGGGAGAGAGAGGGAGAGAGAGAGAGAGAGAGAGAGAGAGAGAATAATTAGGGTAATGGAATGCTTTTCCTTGTTCTGAATGTATGATCAGATCATGCTACAAACGATATTACTATTTTAAATTAGATGGGGAGAGAGAATTTGAATTCAAAGATGGTAAGTTGAAAAATTAGAAAGAAAAAAATTCTGTCTACCAAGAGAATCTATCAATTGAAGCACAATGAAGAGTCTTATTTTCGTTACAATATCAGAAAAGTTTGATCATTATCATCTTCTAATGTGGTAAAGGACGTTAGTCTTATATACATAAGTGTCTTGTTCTTCTAAGGTCCTCATTTTGAGAATATGTAAGGACTAAATGCATATTAGTCAAAAGATTAAATTAGTTTAGATTCAAATGTTTAAAGTATTTCACAACTTAATAAAGCAAAACTAACTTAAAATCCATAAACCATTAGAAAACTCATTTTTTTGGTTTTGCTTTGATAATTAAAAGCACTTCAAGTCATCATGTTTGCTATTTTAATGCTTCAAAAAAAAAAAAATTTCCTTGCCATTAACTGAGAGATTTGTTGGTGTATCGGCAACATGACTTAATACACCAAGTGTCATTATACAAGTGGATTGACACTTGAAAAGCAAAAAGCTTCTCCCCAATGCTTGGTGTACAGAGACGTGTTCTCCAGTACACTGAAAAATCTCTCCCATTAACTACTACATAGAGAGCTAAGAGCTTATTGTTTCTCTTATTATTTCTCTCTAATCCTTGGGTCCTCCTCAGGG